CAGACTTACTCTGCTCACCCTCTCTAGCTTCAACAGCACAAAATCTGCTTCGACTATCAAGGCACCGCGGAAATAGCGGATCACTAGAGAGTGACGCATAAAAAAGGAATAGAAGCAAAATGACGATAGCAAGAATTAGGAAAGAAAAGGCAACATTTCCCTGTTGCAGATAAGCAATGTTATAAGCATGCCATTGAGCAATCAGCCCATTTACAATTACAATTCTACTTAACTGAGCATAAAAACTCGAGGTGTTAATGCCCTCCCTCTCCCCCCCCCTTTAGGAATGGCCTAAAGACTCCAGTCAATAGCACCGCTCCAGGGGGGGGGGGAGATAGATGTTTGATAAGGAAGAAGAAGCAAACCACACCAGAGAGAGGGTAATATACTATGGTAGGGGGTGTTTTTATTTTGTATCTTGGAGAAAATAATGATACTCCAGAATAATCAATTCATACGCCATTGCTGATCGTTAAAGGAGACACATGCCACTAAAAACGTACGTTGCCTTGTGACGTGTGACTAAACTTGTAGGAGGAAAAAAAAAAGAGAGAGAAGAGAGAAAGAAAGAGAGGGGGGGCATAGAAGGAGAGAGACAGGAAGGGAGAGAGAGAGAGAGAGAGAGAGAGAGAGAGAGAGAGAGAGAGAGAGAGAGAGAGAGAGAGAGAGAGAGAGAGAGAGAGAGAAGAGAGAGAGAGAAAGAGAGAGAAAGGAAGAGAGAGAGAGATAGAAAGAGAGAGAGGGAGAGAGAGAGAAAGAGAGAGAGAGAAAGAGAGGGAGTGAGAGAGGGGGGGATAGAGAAAGCCGTACTACATGTACAATGACATACACTTATTTCTATGTTCTCAGTCAGCTTTGTCATGCAATGGTTGGACGAAATGCTTGTAACACGATGTGCCGACAAAAATATCAGGTATGACTGTCTGGACCTTTTGAAAACGGACTCTTCGAGAGGAACAGTCTTTGGTTGTACTTGGGACACATTTCAACAATTTAAGAATTCCCCGGATGAAGAGGTAAGTTTTTCCTTCCATGCAGAGGTTGTCGTGAGACAGCTGTCAGGGTGCTGGATTTTAAGAGAGTCATATTATCGTAGTGAAATCAGGGGCTCGTCAATGTTTGGCCATGTTGCGTTACTGGTATCATTTTCAGGTTTGTTAATTTGTCTAGCGTTATGTGAAAAATGCTCATATCTTGAACATAAGTCGACATGTATAAATTGTCAAACCGGCAGAGAAATACCGGTTTCTTAAAGTTCATTATTTTGACGAGCGCCTGATTTCACCACGATGCCTCACCTAATATAAACGTTTCACCTTCGAATCCGAGTGGGTTTCGAATTGTTTCTAGCACTTTCTAGAATAGTTTTTTCACAAAGGGGTACCCTGTAGCAGGACCACGAGACTCAAAATGACCAAGTTGACGTCAAGCGTTTAAAAAATATTACGTTTTTTAAAGAGTTTTACGGCACTTGCAACACAAATAAGTCGAATAAGTGCCGGAGATTAGAGATGTCACTAGAGAGTGACGCATAAAAAAGGAAAGGTGAGATATAAAGATGATAGATGTTTGATAAGGAAGAAGAAGCAAACTACATCGTAGCCTCCGCCGATCACCCAAACGTCCAGTTTGTATTAGATTTAAAACAGCATTGGCGACAGCAAGAGAAAGATATCGGAAGATGAAAACAACCATTTAACAATAACAAAACAATTTGACTAATAAATAGCTTCAGGGAAAGCTATTAACATTGAGCAAAAGGCTTGTGACCACTCGAAACAGCCGTAATTTTCTTGAGAGAAAAAAGATGCTGACATCCACTCGGACAATACTATATCATCTTATCTTATCTTCTTATCGTATCTTCTGTTATCTTATAGTGTCGTATCTTATGTCCATGTAGAATGATTCAGGGAAAAACTGAAATAGAACAAAAATAGACTAATTTTGAAGGAAAATTTAGACTGCAAATGAAATGAGAAACCAGGTACATTTGCTTACTTATCTTTCTCTCAAAGTCACGTTTAGTTTGGGGTTTTTCTTTAACTGAATTGTTAATGAAGGTCCAATCAGGTAAAGTGAAATAGGTCTGTAGACGGACAGACATGCAGATACGTAGATAGATAGATAGATAGATAGATAGATAGATAGATAGATAGATAGATAGATAGATAGATAGATAGATAGATAGATAGTTCGTGTGCTTTCGGTATAACCACAAGACTACAGAATGCTCTACCCCCCCCCCCCTTTGCATCCCCACTTCCAACCACACATAGACCCTTCTTTCTCGAGAACAGCAGCCCCGCACCTGACAAAGGGAAAAACTAAATATGCATAATGATGGTAATAGCGG